CATTGCACAGCATTGTCCCTACCGCTGCTAATTCACATGCACCTAAACCCGTCGGTATCATCTTTCTCCGATTCCTTAAAATGAATTTGAAATGTATTCCTTCGAGTATAATGCAGAATTCGTCACCACTTCATTGTACTTGGCAGCGCCACATACCGCCTAAAAAATACGCCCACTTAGCCCTTCACTCAACTCATTCTGGATTAATTTTGAACTGTTGAATGAGTCATGTACATTCTTTCAGTCATAGGAGAGGTGACAATTAAGGTAAGTTGTACTTGGGTGTTTGCGACGGTAACGAATACGCTATTGTAGGTGGTGTGGGGCTGTACTGAGGGGTCACCGCTAACCTTTATTCAGTCGGCTACCTGCATAAAATGGCATTGACATTGGCGGTCCAATCGTTTTAAATAAGTGGGCTTGCCTTTCGGTTCGAAGAAAAGTAATCAGCTATGCCCTATGCTTTCTATTACCGCCTGATGGGAAGGTTTGTAACGCTGCAATGTTTACCTGTAAAAACAAACTTAAAAGCCAAATAACTTGTTCCATTCAGGAAAAACGCATTTTGAATTGCCTGATGTTTGTTCGAAGCCACAAGTGGCCATTTGTACCTGTAATGCTTGGCTGTATTCTCTTCTGGAGGTTAGAAGAGAATTATCTGTAAATTTATCACATTTAGAAAAATCTAGGTGGTGGAAATAAATAATACGAAATTTTACTACCCTACTTTTTCAGTGACCTGCTTGGCACTTTGCTACCTTGTTTGATTGAAGTACAAATGACTAACCTATTAAAAAATTCTGCTTGGGTTATTCGCTTTTGCATAATACTAGAGCATGCATAATAAAACTACAAACGTACTAATTTATTGCTTTCCATTTTCTAATATTGACCAACACTTTTAAAGCCATTTGGTGACACGTTTGCGTTGAACTACGCGTCGTTACACTTTGGTACACGCTGATAGCTTGAGACCGCATGAACAAGGCTAGAGGAATGTTTGAAAGTGCTCGTGGAGTGAAATAGGGTTGAGTTATACCAAACTTTACACATGACCTGGAGTAATCTTTATTCAACATTGGCAATCCACTTCGTGAGGAAATAAGTTCAATAAATACATGAAAACTCGGGAAAATGAGAAGCCTTAATATGATGTGAAAGGTGTAATCCCACTGAATCCCTGCTAGCTTGCAGAGTTCTGAGAATAATACGGACAAATGAATCAGTGTTTATGCTTTTTAAATTTTTTAGTGCATTTATTATGTAGAGTAGGAAGGAGTGGGGAGGTATGTGAGAATCCAACTGCAAGTGAAACATCTTTATCCTTGAAGCCCGTTTACCAAAAACAACAAGTAAATTAAAAGGTTCGACTATTTTGGTACTCAATAATGATAACGGTAAAATAGGTAAATTAACCGAGAAAACCCTTAACTTATGTACATTGTACGGTCCGAAAGACTTGCATCTGTGATTGCCAATGCGTACGTGTGGATTTGCATGCAAAACCAGGGAATCAAATAAATAAAAATGAACTCAAATTTCTAAAGAAGGGATACTAATGTTTGAAGGAGAATCACAGACACTTAAAATTTGGCTGGAATCAGATCTAAAGGGGTCGAAAACGAGTAGTAGGCCAGGTCAAGCATGTTAGGATGGAAACACCCATCGGAGGCTTCAGTGCATTCATAACCACCAGTATCGTCGAAGTCATCGCTGTAATTGCAAACTCCACTACGGTCAGCCGCAAGGGTGGGATCGACTTCGGAACTTATGGCGGCTGCGGCAAGATTAGCCTCCGTTGAATAGGTGAGGGGGTAGCAGATCGTATCTTCACATGAGACGGTATTATTGGAAGAGGCCATGAAGAAGGACCGATGCTCAAGTGGGTAAGCTGATTGCTGCAGTGGTAGTGGTGATGATGGCGCTGAAGATGGTAATAAATGACTTCGAAGTTCAGAAAGGCTCGAAGAGAGCATGCCGTGAGGTATGATGATGGTTGGACCGTTTGGATCGTTCTCCATTGTTTCTGTGAGGCCAGATAACTCCACTGCGTTAGAGGCGTCGCCCAAGCCTGGCGACAATACCGTTTGGAAATTTGCATAATTAGGATCATATTGGGGTAGCGAGGCCTCGGACATTTCTGATGAGACAAGAAACTAAGAAAACGGTATATGAAACTATAGGAGTGAAAATGAAATAACTGTGTTTAGGCCTGCCATTCAATAGACTAATTACTAAGCCTAGTGTAGTACCACAATTCTTTGTTCAGGAGGGATAACAGATGACAGAGTAGAATGCTTCCAATCGAAAGACTGTCAGGATACGAAATCGTCTGATATCCGAAAAATAATTAAGGACAAATATGGCTTGCCAACTAGAAAGTTTTCTACTTGGAAATAGTACTCATAGCTGTGAAGTAGGAGGTGAATGTAGCCTATAAAGCTGAATCTAGGCCAGGGCGCAACCAACTAGTCAGCATAACTTATTGGGTGAAAATTATTGTAAAAGCCGGAAATTTCAAGCTTTCTTCTAGCTGCTAGTACATATAATTTGGCAAGAACCACTTTAATAGCACAATCATATGTACGATCCCACTTGTCGGTCGATTTTACTAAATATTGATCTACATAATAAACTACTTGTGAAACAATAGTAGAGATGTTAGTTCTTTCCAGTGCATGGTTCAAAATATGAGAAATCTTTGTTTATGCACACAAAATAAAAGGTTTAAACGAGTGATATGGTCACTCATCAAACGCGGTAAAAAAGGATTCGTCAATGTGTCTTTGAATTTACTAAAGCTTAAAAGTGCGACTTTATCAAAAGACAAAGAACCCGTTTTATAGTATACGAAAACTGCTACAGTAAGAGGATTGCATGTGGAAAAACTTGTACTGATGATAATTTTTGATAGAACTTACGTCATCGTAACCACCGTACGTCTGAGCAGTTGAAACTACATCCTGCAAGGTGGTTATGCCACATGTCACATCGGGGCTATTGCCAGCGGAATAAGGCAGTGAAATTGGAAACTCTGATGGAACCACATATGTGCCGTTTTGCAAAGGATACGAAGGATATACACAAGCGATAGGCTTTTCAGTCACCCGCGGGCTATAGGAAGGAGAGGGAGCTGACACTTCTTTTCCGCAATTTCCAACGGAAAATCGCGCATTTCGAAGCTGCACAGGAACCGTAATTTTGTATATAAACACTTCGATTACCTTATTTACGGATTCTAAAATATGATTGAGGCATTTAGCAAACTCAGCAAGCACTACATGCTCTTGATCAGTGTCCGACATGTTGCGTTGATTGGCCGTAAACAACTGAGAAAGCATGCAAGAGCAGGCCACCTCAATTACTTCTGACGTGATGCATGCAGCAAAGAACCTTTAAGGAACATGTGCAATTGACATATAATGTAAAGATTCATTATGGTCAATGAAATTTATTCACAGACTTCTCGTAAAATTGAGAAAAAATTTCAGAGTCGGCACTCTGTACCGGATCTGGATGGGAAGGTTTGATAAAATTTCGACATCCTCTGCATTTGCAGAGATCTGAACAACTTATTTTTGCCTTCTATATTAAGAAATTGAAGAACTTACTTCATAGCATTCGCAGTAATTTTTTAAGCAATTCGATCTCTTACAGTTACATCCCTTAGAATGTTTTCGTACAGAGGAACCTAAAATACAGTCATAGATGCTTCTTAAAAATTACCTATCTTTGGGTAGAACGCCAATGGATTTCTTTCAAGTGTCGATTTTATTGCCTTTCTTCGATCGTCCTCAAAGTTGAAATTGTTCATACAGTTAGAGCAATTGCAGCCGTCACAAGACTGCCCCTTTGCAAAACACTCGCAATATAATTTTAGACAGTGAGACTTGGCGCAGTTGCATGATTTTTTTTCATACTTTTGGGGTACTTCAAATGGATAGTTTTGTTGTGAGTATGTATCGGTGCTGGGATACGAAATGTGCGCAGAAGCATTGAGATCCATTAAGGCCTGGACAACAGCTACCTGATTTTGCTGATCAGATGAGATAGATGACATATCACAACCAGCTGAACTTTGGGACCAAGTGTATTCTGCACCCTGATTTTCATCATTTGTATGCGATAGTAGTACAAGATCCTTTTCAACATCAGCATTAGATTCATCGAACATTTTGAAAGACATAGATTTACGTTTCTGTGCTGGAACAGCAAAACAATTAACCAGCAATCAAATTGATTTTAAGAAAGAGTCAATTAGTGGATTTCCACTTACACAAATTACGGCATATCGCGTTCAAACGCATCTCAAAAACGTATATCTGATGCAGTTTATATATACGATTATAAAAATGTAGTATATAATAAGAAAAGCACGTTGCTTATATTGCCTGCCAAAGAGCTGGATTTCCAGCTCACCTAAATGTATCTTCCATAAATTATGTCTTCAAAATGCTAATCATATCTCTATTGTACATGCGATTTTTAATGCAGCAACCAATTTAGGGACAACGATGTGCAGCTATATAGTCTTGTTCGTTATCGTAGCCATAGTTCATGTTTTGAATTACGTGTTGCAAGAGAGGTTTTTATGCATGTTTGCATGCATACTTCGTAATGGTATCAGTTAAGGCAAGTAGCTTAAAATTCTACAATCGCCGTAAGTGATTCATTTTGTCTTCACATAGGCCCATACTTATAACGACCATATATGCATTGCCTAGTAGAAATAAATCTAGCCAGCAAAATATTGGATGCCAAATTCAAACCCAAGTATTTATTGCTACTGATGTCCTTGAAACTAGATTGGAGCGCGTAGTTGTCAGTTGGCTTTCCAATGCAAAGCTCTGTCAGGTGGTTCCCTGCGACAACCCTATCAGTCATGTATTTTTATCTGTTTCCATCACAATATTTTGGCTTTCCTTTTTTCCAATGCTATGTCAAGTTGTTTGTAAGTGGATGGGTTCTGGAGCCCCCTTGGCGTGATTTGCTAGACTTTCGACTTTTCTCTTCATTTTAATGGTTTTCTTGCTACCTGGAAGCCTACCTTTTTACGTACCACTTCGGTTCTAAGAACTTGGTAATCTTTGTATCTGAGATATAAGCTACGGAAATCCTTTCAATCACTGCTGTATATATGACGTTAATGTTTCAGCGTTCATCAGTACTTAAGTACACAGAGGCAGCTTATCGCACAATGCATTCGTGAATTGGAGGTAAGCTTCCCTCTCTGTTTTCGTGTTACTATCATCCGTTAGGTTATCTCCATTTATTTCGAATGTTTACTCCAAATATTAGCGGTTTGGGCTGCCATTTGTTGTGTAACTATTAGCTGTGCTAAGTGAATTGAGACGGTTTTCTTTTGAAACACCTCATTGAAAATGAAAATGTCAAGCATTTGCATAACTTGTTTGTTTTTGAACAGGCCTCAATTTTACTAGAAGTGGGCTTTAGTTCCTTTTATCCGCCTGATCTCGACAGCATCTACAACATGGATGTGATTCGTCTTGATAGACTGTGGAGTGACCTGTTGCGCTTGTCTCCGAAGCCCTCTAATAACGTTCCTGCTGGGCATGATCCGACTATCGGCCCCTTCGATCCACTTAGGCAGATCCTCGATTTATTTGTCGAAGCCATTGCCACTCTTCAAAACGAGGGTGTAACCCTGAGACTCCTTTGGTCTCTTGATCGCGGCATCGAGCGTGGATATTTTACGCCTCTGTACGCATCTATATACTTGCCTGCGGTTGTGGTTGTTTTAAAGGAAGAAGACTTGTTTAATCCCTCCTTTTTAATCGCATCAGTAGCAGTCTTGTTATATTTGTGCACATGCATACATTATTCGATGACCTCAAACTTTAAAAGTTCTAGTTTTTTATTCTTTTTATTTCGTTTATACTCTCACTTTACTTCTACTTTTAGACAAGTGACCAATGCGCTATTATCGCGGCGCGAGTTAACGGTTGACAATCAGGTGTTCTTCAGGAACGTATTCAAATTTTTGCTAAAGCTGGTCTTTTATCTTGATTACAAGAATAATCGGCTAGTTTTCATCAAGACAATCGATAAGTCTTTCCAATTCACCTCTGATGCACCGGTGCGACATTTCTACAACCCGGCTGTTGAAGTAGGGTTTGTTTTTGTTTTTCTACTTCAACCGGTCACTGCCTTTCTCCCTTCAATTAATTTGCCATAGTCAGGTTTTCTACTTTTTGCTTCTTAGTGCTCTGTTTTACGTCCTCGGATTGATTTGTGAATTTATCTGATATCTGTATGAAATTGCTGTTTAGATTCACTCTCTTGATTGCAACATTTTCGCATATCAAAGTAATATAATCTGGATAATAGTGAACGTTCCTCAACTATGCTTATCATTCGTGCTTAATAGTGCTGTTAGGTATCGGGCTCAATTCTTTACTTCCTCCACCTAGCTGATACAGTTGCTCCTTTGCCGTGAAATAAACCTATTGCCTGCCTACTTCACCATGTATGAGCTTAACAAATTCAGAGGGGACAAGAGCATCCGCCCTAATAGAGTGAGTCCTCTTGAACAACTGTGTATTGTTTGATCTTCTCTGCTCATATTTCCTCTTTTCCAGCTCATTGAAAGCGAGGTTGAGCGATTCATGGCTGATTTTGACTTCCCCCTACGAATCTTGTATTCCTATCGTATGTGTCCGATTTATTTTTTTTTAAAACTTTGGTGGTACGATATTTTTATCAAAGCATTAGTCCTAGATGTTATAAACTGTCGAATGTACTGTAAGGGTGAAATCATATATTTTTTTTCTGTTTAGTTATTACCAAAATCTTGCTGTGAAATCTCTCTATTTACTGTTATTTCAAACTTATTTATTTGGCAAAGCCATTTTGGTAAACTCTTAGTTCTATTTTGCTCTGTATCTGATGTTCGTTGTTTTCAATAATATTTATTGTGCTAGTTACTCCCACTGAACAACGCGTTTTGCACTGGATACATTTTAATTTAAATAGAAGGTTAAATTTGTTTTACTGGAGGAAAACCTGCAAACACTGCTTTTTCTAATTATATTATGCTTTATCAGTTCATATGCATCCAAACCTTGCATCCTGTAGACTGAGCCAGTAGCATTTACTACTAGAATTGTCTTAATATTTTTTTGACATCGAATATGAATAAAGGTTCCATTCGTGTCACCTCCTCTTTACGATAAGTTTTAGGTAACGTTTTTTAAACTCAGTGCAGCTTGAACAAGTGGGGTCTCGTTGTTCGCTTAAGCCTACACTGTTTTCTTCTCTTCTTCGATCAGACGAGTTAGACATGGTACCGATCGCTGGAATAACACTGGAAAAGCATCCATGCTTTCGGCTGGATCCGGCTGAGTTGACCCTCTCCATGCTGCGCCAGGCCATCCTCTACCCACCCGCCTTCAAAACTCGTCAACTAGGTCTTGCCTGCAACTTACTGGGCCAGCTGCGCTGCACTCAATTGGCCTCCAGTCTCCTAGCTTGCAATGAACGCCAAGCTGTGGTTAATATTTCCTTTTTTTCTGTTTCAACTGGAAGGGGCCAGCTTAGCTATCACCCTTTTCCGCTTAGCAACTTTGATTCCATCACAAATCTGGGGAAGTTGTTGTGTTCGAAAGTTAGCTGTGTTTTGATTTATGGTTGTGAACAACGCTGCAACTTCCTTTCGCTTTGCCCTTAAGAACATTCTCAAAAGCATTCATCTGTAGATTTAGTGCTTTCGAAAATATGCCGAGTGAACAACATACTTATTAAAAGAAGTTCAACGTTTGCGTGTTTCACTGATGTGCGACTAACTCACTTTTATCCAGATCCGTCACTTGCAGAGGCATTGAATATATGCATATCATCTAGTGGCATTTATTCGTTTTTCAAAAGGAATAGGCCGAAGGCAAAATCCACTTCAACAGAAAATGCAACTTGGTTTGCCGTTTCAATCACTTTTAACTTAAGTCTGAATTTGACTGCTCCCTGTCTTAGTTATTCTCCAATTTTCTCTCAACTGGAAACTCATTAGATAATGATAACTCATAAGCTATTGAACGACTCTTACAAATCTTTCTCGGGCAAGTCGGATGTGCAGTCTATGCTCCCTTTCGGTGTCGTAAATTAGCTCCTTTTCTGTTCTGTTTGACGTGTCTGCGCGCTTGTCCTTCACAATCAACTTATTTCTGCTTCACAATTTTCGGTGAATAATAGTTACATTCTATGACTTGCTCTTCATTTTCTAGCCGTATGCTAACCAGCCGAAAGTGTAGCTCTTCTTACTCATGTCCGTCTGTCAGTAAGTGCGAGAGTAACTACCTAAACCTATTCGGAGAAATGAAGGCACATGTAGATTTTCCATAGTGGCATTTCTAATGCTTTTCAGTAGTGAGGATGTTGCTGTGGTCAAGCGGAAAATATTTCCCATTACAACGGTGATTTGGTAGGTTTAGCCAAAATATCCAATAATAAGGCTTATGAGCTTGTGGAATCGCTCCGCTATGGTGGTGATGATGTGTTAATCATCCTATCCATTGTGGAATTTTTTCTCTTTACAAAGGGACCGCACATGACACTGGTGGGTCTGGCAGTAAGTGAGTTGATCTTCTCGGTTATGGAGATCACAGAGGAAGAAAAGTGCACTGAATGGACTGCTCGGATATTTAGCCACCTGGCGGGTCTCGTGATTTGCTTTGTTGTGGATCGAGTTGTTCGTCTCAACGACATAATCTCCAAACTTAACTCCAAGGTGGGAATACGCATCAATAGTTCCTTCACGGCATTCTTTATGATGATAAGCGATACAGTGATTTAAGTGGCAGAAAGGTAGGAGAATTATTTTTTAGGCGTCGTTTAGACCAAAGACGAATTTGCGCTTTGAAACAAGTATTGTGCTGCATTTCTATGTCACTACTTATTTACCAATTTTAATGATTCTGCAAGGTGTTTTTTGTTGAAATAGTTTTGTTAGAGGTGTTTTTGTGGCTGTCTGAGCTATAGCAAGCTGAATAACAGTTAATCGAATCTGCACTCTACTACGATTCGCTGTTTTTTCACTTCCATAAAATCTTTGACAAATAGGCCTTGTAAAATGAGGCTAGACTTTGAATTAGGTATTTCCTCCACTTTGTGCATCTTTTCAAGCATAAAATTTACTTAACGAGATAGTAGAGCCAATTTTTGTTCCATGCAGATCTCTGGGAGATCTTGGCCCATCTCGCGCCACTTTGTCATGTGGTTTACTCTCGTGTGTATGTCGGGTTTCGTTGGAAAAAATAAGGTTTGTTCTACCACTACTTGCAATTTAACTCTTTTACGCATCCTAACCATGGTTTACTCCATTTTGAGCTTAAACTACCAAATGTGTTCCTTTCTCTGTCCATATCTCTCAAGTATCATGCATGAATAGACTGGGTTTTGTTCTAGTTCTCACAGTTCAGGAAGAAATATAAGATGCTTAGCTTTCTATCAAGATGAGGAAATTATGTTATCAATTTATGAATCGGTACTTTGATTGGGTCTCCATTGTCACCTGAAAGCTGACGTTGTGTATCCAATAAATCAGTGCGTGCTTGACATCATTTCCATTACTTGGTGGTGTTGTGAGGCGAACCATAAAGAACAGCCTTTTGGATCTTTAGTAGTCTTGAAGAGAGGAGAAGATTTCTTCAAGGTAAATTTGGTTCCACTCTCTAAGTGATCTTTGCATTTTTGTTTTCAACTACTGTATAGCTGACCGACTTTGTGTCATGCCTGCACCTCTTCGACCAGCTCTTTCCTGAGGCCGATGAATTGGATAACGCGGCAGTCGAACGTTTAGAGAAGCTATGGGTGGAGGACTTGGGCTACTGGAGCACTAAACGCCGTCCCATATCTCTAAAGACGCTGGAGGAGATGAGTCTTGATGGCTCCGATCTGCGCTTCATTCTCTTCTCACCTGACCGCCTTTTTGGCAGTTGGTTTCCTGATGGTGCTCGATCAGAGTTGTGCGCAAAAGATGGAGGGGAAGAATTTACTGATAAAAATGGTGCATCAACGGTATCCGATGCTGTTATTAATGGGGCTAGTTATGATGAGGATGTTGCTGACGATGGCGACGATACCACAAGCACTAGTGAGGACGAGTCTGTTGCAGAGGATTCGAGTCTACTTCGTGAGTTTCATGGCTGAGGTGATCTTATTTCTGACTTATTACCACCTTCCGAATATTTTTATTTGCAGCGTGAAGCATAGAATGTAAAGGTATTTATGATTGCGGATTTTCTTTTGTAACAAAGCACTAAAATACGCTGCAAAAGGAAAAATTGCATTCCTATATGCACGTATGGTCTAATCGAACCGCCTGTAACATTAGCAGCGACGTGCGAAAATGAAAAAAATTTGTAATAAATTTGGTTACGTAAAAGCGCATTCTGTACTCTTTTTTTTCAACTTCATGTCTCGATGTTTAGTGGACATTACCAAGTCACCTCCTCTGTTGAGCACTCTGCATCGTTAACTGTATTTGGGAAGATTAAAAAAATTTAACAGTAGTTTAAATGACCAAATTTATCGTTATTATTTTGGTCCAGGATGAATAATCTTATCTCAAAATCTTATTCATCACATGCAATTTGAAATTTTTTTTGTTTACGAATCACTCTTTCAAATCACATTTAGATTATTTCTTTAACCGTGCTTTCTACATTGACGTTGACATTGCCTAGTTGGAGTCTATGCTTTCGGCTTCTCAAATCGGACATACTTTTACCTTTGCACAGTTTCAAACAATGGCGTACCTATTTGTTTTACTATTAATCTAAATGCGGCATTTGGTTAATTTAACAGAGTCCCCATTGGGCCCAAATAATTTGCAATGTTAAGCTCAACATATCAGTTTCGAACTCTTGTAGTGGAAAGTTCGGAACCATGCGTTGAAGTCTGGTAGGTGGGTTTATTGATGGCAAAAGTAGCACTTCGAAAATTATCTTCCACCTATACATACAGTCTCAAAGAAGTCCAAGACGGTGTTGAAACGGGGCGAAAGGAGCGGCAGGAGAAAGGATGAGGACATGACGCACCTGGTGGCGGCTGCAGCGTGCGCCTGGGAGATGATTTTACAAATGAACAATGGGGGTGAGGAGGTGGGTTCTGGAAGTGGCGTTGGAGGAGTTGGCGGTCGTGCTATGAAAGAAAGCCACTTGCCTCGCACTATCCCACCTCTACTCTACCCACTGCAGGCACAAATTGCCACCTGGTTAGAGCACCTCAAAGAATCCTGTGTTGGTGGTTGCGCAGGGGGTGGGAGTGTTGTAGAGTCAGGTGAAACTCCGAACGACACTCAGACCCCGCAGGTGGTTCAGTCTCTTTCTTGGCTCGAGTTCATCATTACGCTGAATACCTGTAAGGTGTTTGTATTTTAATTGTCTTATTTTCTTTCGTACTGAATTGTTTTCAGTGACTGGGCTTAATTTTTAATTCGTCCACGCCATTATCTCTGAAAGGGTAGGCAGCACGATCAAAGTCAAGTATGCATCAAAAACCTCTCATTGGCATGGTGTGAGGCTCATCTGAAACTATTTCAACCGTACGTGGACTTGTTCGTTTTGTCTTGTAAGGGAATCAACATACTTCTTCTGAATAGCGCCAAATTATGCTTGAGCCCAGGTTGCTTTACTATTTCTTCCCCTTGATTCCAGCATACGTATTATCAGCCGCTCTCATTTCATGATAGTGTTCTAATTTCAAACGCAAATTCTTCAGTTTACGAAATCGCTCACTTTTATCTCCAATTTCTTCAGCGTCTTGTCCAGTATTGCCTGCTATTTGTAACAAAATCATGTAATCATGTCATGCATAACCAACGGATTCGGCGACTGGTGGATTTTCGTTTAGCGTTTGTTTGTTTAACCAATGTAACACAATAAATCTCTCCAGCTTCTCTATGTCGCCCTTGATTTCTGCCGTAAATACAACTTTCGATTGCGTTGGTGGCTACCTTAGAAGAAGGTTTATCCACTTCTTCCTGCCCCTTTAAATTAATAACTATCTGACTTGCTCCCAGGTTTTTAAGAGTGAAAATTTAACGGAACATATAAAAGCACTGGAGAAGTGTAGTGCAGTTTTATCAGCTCACGTTCAAACCAAAAACAGATGTCTTGAGCCATTGGATCTAAATGAGTTTCGTGATGGAGATGTTATACGAGAAGTGTACGAGTATCGGCTTAGCAATGGAACCCCAAACTTATTAACGCTCACGCTGAAGGTGACTAAACAGTTGTTGTAGGCTATAATGCCATTTCAACATCTAGAAATATTCCTCATTGTTTACTTTTTGAAATTTGTGCCATTTCTATCTGATTATTTTTGGAAGTATTTGTCCTATGTAATGGTGTAATGCCATGATAACCTTCGTTGCGGTTTGAGTAAAAGATTCACAGTGCTGACTTAGGTACTGTTTATTATCTCGAAAGTTTTCCTAATATTTGTGAAACTCATACTTATGTGACTCTTCTTGCGTTTTGCATACAGACTCACCAAATGAAAACCTTCAAATCACGCGAAGTGTAGTAACTTCCTTTTGGTTGCCAAGTAACGACCCGCTTCCGGGGATTGGAGGTGGTCTTCCGCTCAACAACGGCCCATTCATGTTACCTTACGGGTTGAGTGGAGCCGGTCGACTTACTCCCCTTCCTCACCGACTCATCCGAAAGATGTCCATTCACCTTCAGATGATGTGCATTTGACTCTTCCTATGCCATTTTGGCTCCCTACAGCCATCGACGTAGCCTGATCGACTCCGTTTTAAATCTTTAGATTTTGTAATGAGATGCGCCAGAAGCTGAGCGAAATGACAAAGCCGCCATGTGCTGAGCCAGGACCTGCTTACCTTACTTCTCCGGCCACTTTGGAGACATTCAGTCGCTTTCTCTCGTATCAGGTGGAGAAAAACCTTATTATTCCCATTCGCGGTGAGTTAAATGACACAGGAATTCGCTCATAAATGTGCCATTCTGATGAAAAGATTATCATCTTTAATTTCTTTAATGATTTTAAAAAAACCTCTCAGGGTATTACATTTCTGTTAGGATTTAAATAAGATATCTCTTCACTCAATTGTAGCTACTTTATTTCAGAGATATATCGGCGCTTGCTCCTTGAAAGCGGATCCATAAACATTCCGATCTACTACCATCCAACTGATACAGATGGCACAACTAGGAACGATTGTTATCCTCCGATAAACGATGACTTTTATGCCCTCTCATTTTGGTTTGATCTTCTTGGTCACCGTTTGGTCGAGGCTCTTCCTGTGGAACATCGTCTCAGCTACCGCGATGAACTCTTTCTCAGAGTGGATCTGGAGTCCCATGAACTCGTCTACGCGTATGATGAGCCTCATTGTTGGAACTTGAAATTAGTTTTTTTTCAAACAATTAGGACTCAATGGCTTCAAGTTTTGATCATAATGCGTTAAGTGGGTGACTGATATACATTTAAAGTCTGTGTATAGGAGTTAAGTCAAATTGTTGGTGAGGCAGATTTAAGGTATTGTGTGAAATTTATGGTCTGTGTTCTATCGTCGCTTCAAGGCTTGATTGGACCATCGTTCAATTCTCTCGACGCGTACTCACTCCTGACTGCATCCTCTACAACCTTCAATCCTCCTCACTTCAACAACAGTTCTCGCAACAGCAACTTCCGCTTCATTCTCATTCACGAGAGGTTACCTCACGTGTTATTTTGTTTTCCACTCTTCAGGCAGTTTGTGCATATGGTATGCTTCCACCACTTCCTTCAATTGTAATGTCAATAGGATCTTAATCATTGGTGCTTGTATGAGAGAGGTGAAATTCGTTAGGTGCTTACTGTACCATTTCCTCTAAAACGTCATCAGCAGGTTACGGGACTATGAACATGCAATTGATAATTACCCGAACTATAGTTGTGTCAGGTTGAATTACAGTGGAGCTTAGTGAGCTGCTCTGATTGTGTGATCCAAGAAGGATCACTGCTCCTTGTCTTTATCTTTGCTGAGTTCATGGTTGATGTCGCTGGCCTTTGGGCTAGCGGCATTAAGACTCCTGTGAATTTCGAAAGATAAACTCACGTGGTGCAACGCCTAACAAAAACTAGCGGTCTGATCTTTGGTTGCCAGGTTACGAAACATTCCATTAATTACTATTTTTTTTGTTTGAGCGCATGTCGTTTGTTCAAGTAGCCCATATAGGATAAAAGGTCTCGTTTGTTTATTTTGAAGATGAATGAATTCATTCATATTGAACCACACACTAATTGCCGATGTCTGATCTTTCTCTGATGTTGCTCAAAGACCGGCAAGTCGATTGAATACTGAGACCATAAAATCACGATTTACTGTGTGCATATATACATAGGCTTTTGTTATTCTTGTGCCTCCATCGTTCTCCATTAGATCTGCTAGAGGTGGGTGAGGTGCGGTGTCAAACAGAGGAGCAATTGATGCGATGCCAAATAAGGGAGCAATTTATGACAATGAGGGCGGAGACGCGGGCCATTTTTGGTGAGGAATGTGGTTCATTCCACCTTCCAGCGGTTATCGCACGTCTCGCTGACCTTCTGCCCACCACTCTTGCCTTCGCTGCTCCGCTCCAGGCGCCCATATTTAATGCAGAAGTCGTTAACCCTCCTGAAGCTGAGACGTACTTTAGTCTCCGTGAACGTCTTCTGTTCTCCGTCCATGATCTCTACAAATCGCTCCTACTTGAGTCAGGTACGCCCTCTTCAAACGCATTTTCCTCGTTTTTAGGCGCCTGGATACTATTATCAAAAAAGTCCACTGCTTCTTTTTCAACTTGAAGTCTTATTTTAATTAGGCGATGATTGTGAGGTGAAATGGGCCGAACTAAACCTGCGTAACGAAAGAAGTTTCTGGTAGGCTTTATCTTCTTTATTTCTCCAACCATTAAGACGGAATATTGGTCAATTTTTTTTTATTTTAGCGTTATTCTTGTCGCTCTTATCAATGGGAAAATGCCCTTGCCTCTTACTCTTTTAAAGTAGGTTTCATTAAAGGGCCACCCTCATCCACATTCTGAGATAATTGTTTTGGCCATGAAATCACTATAATGAAACGGATGTTTTGGTAAAAAGAACTGGACAAACTTTCCTTACTTGTTGCTTGAGTGTATCTTTCTCACATTCCATTTAGCAATCTTTTGCAGTTGCCACCGGCAACAGTAAACGCTCAGGTGAAGGTGTTGTGCGAGTACCTGATAACGGCAATCAATAAATTTGAGGAATTCGAACGACAAAACCTCTCTCTGCCCGTGCACATATACGCACCCTGTAAAGTGAGTCATTTTACTTCCAATGTTCCAACTTTTTTCTCATCATGTGTCCGCCACCCGGTTGTGATTTTGTGTGTTGCTGTAGGTGCTGACTGCTACCATTGCTTTTTGTGTTCAGTATGGAATCATTACAATGGACCGCCTCCTGCTTTACCTTGTAAGCAAGCTACCTTCTTTTGGGCTTGTTTTTTTGACATCCGCTGAGAACGCATAGATTGATATTAATAAAATTGGGTGTTAATAGTAAACGTGAGTCTATTAAATTTAGTCTGCTGTATTTACTCAACCGTGCAAATGAATCCATTCATGTATATTCATTGGGATACAAGATCTGGATAGTTTTTTTTTGGTGCTTTTGGCCTTCCCAATATAGTTCGTCCGTTCAAACAATTCGCCGATTGATGTTGCCGCTGCCCATAGCATTGCCATATTTCTAATCACCCAATGCCCTCAACTCGTGGAGGCCATCAAAACATTGGAGAGTTTTGTAAGTTATGCCACCATCCTCCATTTTTCTATGCTAAAACATTTACTATTTTAATCACCTTTGAAGAACTAATCTCCCATTCCTATCAAATCTGTCGTAAAGGTGATGCCTCTAGGCTCCACTCGAATTCTCTTCTTGTCATCAGGTGCAACTGGTTCAAACCTGAATTTGCTGAATAAATTTACAAAATCGGTCCTTTTTCATAGGTGGTTGTTTTCCATATAAAATTGTAGATTTATGTAAGCACGTGAACTTGTTTGGGGCTTGAATAAATCGAGGATCCTTCCGTAGAGTAACACCGGATCGCTGCTCTATCCATACCCATACCCTTTTCCATTCTGTAAAAGATGTCTAATAAGTCCTCTCCAAACCATTCTCTTATAAAATCAGAGGCTCAGGAGTCTGGGGGTAGGCTGGGAGGCAGAAACAGAAACGAGGAAGCACTTAAGTTTCAAGATCCACGCAATTCAGGCTTTTTTTTCGTTGAGGTAGCATCAGGTTCCTTTGTCGAAGATGGCACAATGAAGGATGTGGAAGAAGAAGGGTTTTCACCCTCAAGATTTGTACTTTTTTAAAGGAATAAAATTCGTATTTACAGTCACTATGAGTAACTATTGATTGCGTTGATGAGTTTTAAAGCAGTTTAAACGCTTGAAATCGCCTCTAATCGTTTATTCGGTTTTAATTTTGACGAAAGTGATATGATTTGAATTAGTACAACTGTGGGAAATCAAATGATGAGCCCTGAGCGACTTTAATGAAACCTATCTAAAAATTATCTGAACAAAGTCAAGTGCAGATCATCCTATCACTCCTCATCCGTTCTAGGCGGAAAATTCACCACAGATGATTGTGTTCGTGGGCGACGTTGAAATGTTGTTCGGACTTAAGCGACTCAGGTTATCGGTGATGAAGCAATGGTCCAAAGACATCAACTTTCAGTTTTGACATAATTGGAAAATCAGGGCAGAAGGAAATCATTCTATGATCAGTTGAAACCAATTTTGCATAGCGGAATGTTCTGTGAATGAAACCCTCAATTGTTGCATTGAAAGTAAAACGTAGATACATCTATCTTTCTTCGATAACTACCTTTACATGCTTGTCAAGGTCCCCAATTCATCTACTATTATCTCAAGCCCTCGGTGGCCAGAATTGTTGAGGCGCCTGCACACGATTCTTCCAGAGAAGCAGGTGATTTTCCTGCCTTCCTCCACCAATGGTCAGACCGATGCGTCTTCCTTCATGGTTCTGCGCCGACGTCCCTGTCAGCCGGTCTACTACGACCATCTCATCCTTCGCTTAATTCCCATTCTGGAAATCATCTTCACCTCATTTCTTGATAATCCACCGCCTCTCCTTCAACTTGCTCGCTTCTGCGACACTATCGCACCCTTATTCAGGTTACACTGTGAGACATTATCTTAGAACTTTCTCCATATTTTTCTATTATTTCAACTACTTTTGAGGCATATAGAATAGTCTCCATTTCTCGTGGATATTCCAACAAGAAGATTTTAAACGTTCCGAATGAATGGCAAATAAAGGTTGCTAACTTACAGAAAAAGATTGAAATACTCTCACACTCAAATTCGTTGATAGGGGTTCGAAGTTAGCGCAGCTGGTTTTGTGATCATACAATTTGGTCGAGGTTGACGCCTGTTGAAGCCAAATGAAGCGTTTTGAATGGCTGGTAGTAATGGCGCTTTACAAGCAAAACTGATTAGACTAAACGTCGCTTGTGCCTACTGATGGCCGTCCCCTCTCCATCATTCGACTATCCTCCCTGCCGGGTGGCATTTGATGGTGACGAGTTATGTTTTGGAAATCGGATCGCACATTTATCGGTTAAAATGGAGTCGTTTTACAACTTGTTAATTTATGCTTATCATCCTCTTGCCTTCAGAGGACAACTGATAGCACTTTCTGTGATTGTGGTTACTACAGTCTATACGAAGTACAGATTGATTGATTGTCCAAATGAGATTAAAAATAAAAATGCATTTCAACCGTGTCTAGATTGCCTTAGAAAAAAGCAGCATGTTACCCACAAGCGGCAGCCTTTTCCCTTGTTCACAGAATTCGCTTTTCTCCATACATGCTCTTAGCGCACCCAATGAGTCTGTGTTTTCTCCTATTGCGGGGCCAATTCCATCACTTCAGCAGCGGTGCCGCAACGGCTTCGGGGGTGGTGGGCGGTGCAACGCAGGGAGCAACCACTCCTGGTGGGGGGCAGATGCAGCAGCTGACATGGCGCAACCCCACTCAGGTAGACGAGGTCGCCTGTCAACTTATTCTTCGTTGCATTCTACGTGCTCACCAGGCTTTGGCAGAGCGTGCCAATGCTCATCGCGAGTGTGCACAGGCATTCATGAGCAGTACACAGAAGGGTGAGTCTGTTAATTTTGGTCGTTTTTAGAACACAGTTATCTGTTGTATGAATGGCAGCCAACGGCAACAAAAGCAAAAGTATGATTTGCTAAAGTTATAGGGAAGAATTGCTGAATGGAAGTGATACCTATGCTTAATGAAGGCTTTGCTCGAAATCCAATGTTTATGCATTCTTTTGGGTTATGGAACTCTCTGGGCACGTGAAATTCCTAGCTTTTAACGAGAAAGAGGATTGTAGCTGTAGGATGATGATTGATCACTAACTGATCTTGTGTTGTTACTGATATCATCTCTCTTGACTTACTTGAATGAGTTACCTTTGACTTCTTGTTAGATAGTCGGTCAAACAAGGCTTTGATTTAGACGTTGTCAAGCGCACCGCCTGCTAAGGATTGCCTGTAGTAGGCTATTTGTTACTTTTATTTACACCTGGTAGTGTTGAACAATTGTCTACTTTTTTTGTTAACTGGTAGTGGAAGCAGACTGCTTTGCGTATCATCACTATCATTTTAGTGTTTACATCTTCACTCAGCATTGCACAATATGAATAACGAGCAAATTAACAAAGAACAGCACCAATCTTGTGCCATCGGATGTATCGGAAATTTCATTGTGATGGGTAAATAAAGGACGATAAATATAGGTTCCCAATGAACTTCACGTCTCAGTAAAGGTAATCAGAAGTAATCAAAATACCATTTCTCTTGGTAGAAAGATCAACCATTTTGGACGACTTCTATGCCATTTTCGTGGTTGCGAAATGCACAAAGTCTTTCACAAATGTAAAATTTATTAACAATCGGGTTTTCTATTCGATTAGTGTGTGGCCTTCTTTCGCCTCCGGCGTGGATGACTCTGAATATTCTGCACGAGGCTGCAATGCAAGCTGGAGGCTACAACGCTGTCTTCTCTGACACCGACATTGCAAACTGCCTCAGAATGGCTTATGGTTCTGATGCGGAGATTCGCCTTGCTTCAGCTCTCCACTCTGCCACCGAGAGTGTCTTCCCTGAGCTCGAGTCCCACCTCGCACGTCTTCTTCAGCCTGTTGTTAAAGGTTAGTATTCTTTTGAATCTTCTTATTGTTACTCGAATTACAACATTGAAGATAGCTCTCCATAGCCAAATTGAAGCTCAAATTCGTTTGCAGCCTCATCACAATCGGTTATGAGAAGTACAATTCACATGTGTTTTGAATGAAAAGACGATTTTTCCTTCCTCATGATTGAGCGAGTTATATTGAGGATTTTGGAAATTACTATAAAAATTCAGGTAAAAAGACTTCCTAGATGCTTGATGCTACTTCCTTCTTTTTCACCTATTGGGTAACATTTGTTGACAGCTTTGAAGAAAAAAAGAATGATGAGCACCCCTTGGGTGTTACTGTTTTACAGCATCTGCGTCGTGTGCTTTAGGTAGCTAAAAGATAAGTCGCCTGTAAACATGGGCCTTATCCGATTGCTATATGGTCACGGAGTAATCCACGTTGGTAATGATTTGGGGATTAACTGTGACTTCCAGAAATAGGCATGCGCATGTGTGCGAAACCATTGGACCCGACATGTAGGTCATGGCTTTTTACACGCCTTGTTTTGCTGCTATTCTTGAGCAATTTTGAGTACTGAAAGCATGAAGAAGAATGGTGTATGCAGTGAGTATTGAGCGAACGTCTTTTAACTGGTAGTTATGAAGAAACATGGACTGTGCGGGGTTCCTTCAGCCTGGCGAGACTGGCGCAGTGAGGAGAACGTAAATCCCCAGGCCGCAGGCATCTATGCAGTGGCGGTGGAGTTAATGGCTCTCCATCCACCTTCTGACACTTCACGAGTTCCTCAGGCCGCCGGATGCCTCATGGAATGTCTCCGTAAGCGGTGCGTCGCTGGAGCTAGCCTAGGTGGAGATTTAGCAACCGGCAGCCGAGGTGCTATGAGCCCGACCCAGGGTTTATATCAAAAAATTCAACGAGTTTGTAGAGACCAATACATTCAACTTGGTCACTAGAACAAGTCTACCTTGTCTGCTTTTTTTCTATTTTCTGAACATTTAACTCCTATATTTTTGCTCCTTGTAAAATAACTTGCTTATCACTGTATTTTTTAAATATCAAAGCCCTCTTACTATCTTCAATGAAAACTACAATTCCTCACTTTCCCATTTTTATTTTTATGCTTCAGTTCAGGTTCCGGAGATTTCCATACGTGGTTGAATGTCACCGGTGCCCTTGTTTCGGTTTTACCGGTGAGTTTGCTTTGTATTTGCGAGGTTCAAAACTGTAGTCTCCAAAACCCACTGTTGACAAAATATAAGCTGTGCGTAGGCAACAATCGCATGTATCAAATTTTTCTGTAGCTTAATGTACCGACTAATATGACTTATGTTAACCTAATGCAGACGTTACCATTCCACTTAGACAAGATGAGAATTCAGGGAATGCAACTATTTCTACTAATCTCCTGCCATGCGGTAGAGAGGATCGGATCAGTCTGCTAAACCATGTATTACAAGTAAGGGAGTTACATAGGATGTTAATAAGCAATCCCATTCCATCACGCACCGCTGAAACGATGTGTCGGTTAATTTTGGCATTTGGCACAAAAACTGTGCATGAAAAGCATGTAGTAGCACTATATTTGTCTTCACTTGATGCAGTTGTGGCGATTTCGGGCAAAAATTGCTTTTTTAATCCAATATTCATGTTTTTTATCTGTGGACAGTAAGGAAGACGTGTTTCTGGCTTAATCAGGAAGAAGATCCTTCAAGCAAATGTGCTTTCTCCTTTCAGTTTGTGTTCCGTCACAACATTCTTTGCTTGACCTGCACCCTCATTCACGACCCCTGCTTCAACGATTCAGAGCAGTGGCCCTCGGATCTGTTAACCCTGAAGACGTGTAATGGATTGTCACCACATTCCCCGGCTCAGCTGTTGAGGGTATTTCGTCGCCGTCGCGCCCTAACTGACCAGCCGGTTCGGCTCACGATTTTTAAAGGTCAGAAGGAAGCCGAAGAGACGACAATGAAAGCTTGCCAGCAAGATGATGATGAAGCTAGCTGGGAGGTGCTTGGTCGTCCACACACCTCATCCGTGCGATTCTTTGAAACCATTTTGCCGCCGCAACTACCCCAAGGAAGTATCTTACCAAATCACCTCTTCAAGGCCGCTGTCTGGCACGCCATTTGGAGTCATGCCAATATGAATGATAACCCAACTCTACTTCGGTTAGTAGGGTTTCTTTCTTTCTATAACAATGTTAATTGTACACATTTCAATGGATTATTGGTCAGTCCAGAAAACAACAAACTACGTTGAAGATCAAAAATTTGATGCTATTGACTATCCAACATTGAGTGATAAATGCAATTCATTTTTCAAATGTTGTAAACACTGCCTATTTTCATCTTTTGTAGAATCTTCGATGAATTCGTGCTCAAGTATGTTAACAATGAGGCCAAGCTTTTAATGGCGTTCTCAATGATTACGCCACCAATGAAAGCACTGAGCAACGACAAATCAACAATCGTTGATGTAAGACCAGTAGTAGCCTGGGTTTTCTTTAAGCATTAAGTTAAATGATGATACTTTGCTGAGTGCAAATATTTGGATTCGATAGTATCACAGAGATTTCTTAAATTCTGTGATAATTGGCGAGAACCCAACCATTCGAAGATTGACATCTAAGCTGAGGATTTTAAGTTGAAGGTCTGGGTGTGTCCGTTGTCACAGGGATTTCGCCTTTGAAATCACTATTGGAATTTCTTTTCACAATCGGTCAATATGAAGCCTTCAATCAAATTCATCAATTTTATTAGGATTGGCCTCTCAGGCCAAACATTACAACGGGAACATTGTGCATAATGTTTAAACTTTAAGCTGATTAACCAGCAAGTAATCATGCTGTGTCTCTGACACGCAACGTTTGGTTAGCAGAAATCCTGGAATGTTGATTCTCAAAACTAGCACTTAAAGTAGCCACTGAAAGAACGGTGCAAATACAAGGCGTTTATGAGATATTTTATTCGAATAGGGGAACACATTAAAAGTTTGGTCAATAACAAACTCCTTTGTGGGAAGATCTATTTAATTGAGCCAAAGGATGAATGGCAACTTGATAGGTTGAATCAGCTTCTATGGACGTTATCACACCCACCTCAATGTTTGAACCTTTACAGCTGACAGTAAGTCTCTACAAGGCGGTACAGCAGGTTGACGAGGCGTTAGCAGCGAAGGGAATCCCCCTCTACCATGTGAACACAATAGCAGATCTGCTATATCACATCAAATACACTTACGTGGGCAAAGCGGTGCAAGACGAGGTTCAGGGCCTCCTGAGTAGAATGAGGCCGCATCTCCAGAATTGTCTCAAGTTCGTCTTCTCTACGCCCACCACTACTGGTTGCATCAAGACCAACAACTGTACTGATATCAAGTATCCAATCTTCGAAGATCGGGAATACCGAGCTGCCGCCCGACCACCTGCCGGAATCGTAGACGAGTTCTTTTGAACAGCTTCATCTCAGCAATAACAGTATCAAAATTCAGCACCATTGTTTTAACTTGACCGATAAAAATTATGTGAATTTGTTGGACTGCCTCAAGCAAGTATTGGAAATCAGGAACAACTCTAGAGAATACACTGTTTATACAGAGCTTTTGAAAAGTTATAACATTTCCAAGCATCATTGGTGGGGAGAGCTTCGAGAGCGATCGCGATCGCGATGCCTAGAGTGATGGGAGGAAAAGGAAGAGGGTCGTTTGCTTTGCGTAGATATGGACAAATCTCTCGGATGCGCTTCCGACCTGCGTCGCGTAGAGGACGTATCGGTTGGACCTGGAGAATGGTGTCTTCGGTGAGGTGAGGAGCGCCTGAAATTGGAGTTTCGCCCTCTAAGTAGGGACAAATCTTGACTACGTCGTGGTGGCGAAACAGAAGGAGATTTGTCACGACGAGACGAAAGGTTTTGTGAGGAGAGATGATGAGACCCACGCGGTGGAGACGGTGGTCGATCTACATGGGACCCATTATATTGTGGAGATTCTTGAGAGGTTTTGTTCACCTTTTGAAGCTCCAGAATTCTTCGCATCGCTTCAGGGCCACAGCCATGATCGCGCACGTAGTCAGTCACGGACGGGAACTCACCGCCATCAACATTTGTAGGGACCTGATCAGCGTCTTGACGCCCAACTTTCGTCATACCAGCGGTGGGAACCCTATACTTCTCAACATGATCGACACGAATTATGCGACCGGCGAGTTTTATTCCGTTAAGATTATCTGTGGCAAGAACAGTGCTCTTTTGGTTTTCATAGCAGACGAATGCAAATCCCCTGGAACGTCCAGTGTCTTTGTCTCTCACGAGATTTATATTTGCGATTTCTCCATACTGTGAGAACACACAGATCACATCGCCTTCTGTCAAGTCATAGCTCAAGCCACCAACGAAAATCCACGCGGAGTCCCTGTATTGTCGGTGCCAACTGCTCTCTGTACCCGTGTAACCGAGACGAAGTTCACGCTCGTTCATGGCATTTTGCTTCTTTGTTTGCGTGATTGGATTCATGATTTACAGATGTTTAAACTAAAAATGAGGTTATGTCACTTGGATTACTAATTAACTATGAAAGAGTGAGCACTATAATTCAGCGGAAGGTTATCTAAGTAAACATGAAAATAGATGGAAATAGCAGTGAGTAATAAGCAGAATTGGAGGGAAAACGCTAACGAAAATGTAGTGAGATGCAAAAAATAGATTAACCTGGTCAGTAACACAAAACGCGAAGTAAATTCTGACCCCAAGGCTCAAACCGCGGAACGCACAGATCCAAAGCATAAATTAAAACAGTAAAAGCTGCCTTGAATTTATCAAGATAGGTAATTAGTCGACATAAGAGCATTATAGAATAGATTAAAATTTTTGCTTTATGTCGAAAGTAGAAGAATAAATCAACTACACACATAAACGATATAACACAAGTCTGTTAAAAGATAAGGTAGATTTGTCTGAATCCCTGTAGTCACAACGGCCAACTCAACCGTATGCATTTCGAGCAAAATAGCTAGTGGGTTCTATCCGTTTAGCCCAACTGTGATAATTAGTGTAATCTATACTAGGGTGCTTAAGTTGGCCTTCATAAAGGAGAGGCGGGAAGCGAAGTCGAGCGTGAGGAATCTCTCTTCGGTTGATATCTGCTATTCGGTTCATCTGTGCTCCTATCCTCGTTCTTCCTGTACTCAATGTCTAATAAATCTACCGCAACTATCCCTCTCTTGAAGTACTTGGTTCAATGGCATGAGGGTAGACAGACCGTTCCTGCAATTTGTCTGAGTGTCCACCTGAATTCTGGAGGTTGCTTCGGTATTGGTTTTGTTCTTGTACGTGTAAGCTGGCCTTCGGGCCATACCGATGCTCTATTTCTTCTTCTTCTTCTCTTAGAATACATGCATTCGGCCCAATGTGATGCAATCCCCTATTGAATGGGGAGTCTCAGGGCGCTACACTGATGGAAGCAGGAAGCGTACTCGACGTATTTTAGGAATTCCCTCTTAGGATCGCACACTTACATCAGATGGGAGGCCATCTGAAATTATCATATTAGAAGCGTTAATAATGGCGCCTGAATTTGACCCCACCTTGTTTCCGTTTTCCACAGGAAAGTTGTCAGTAACCGAGACACTATCACTGTAAACAATCTGGAAATGCTTTGCATTGTAAATCATCTTACTTCGCCTGGCGATTCCTTCTTCACATAAGACTGTGTTTGATTCCATCTTCCCTCTGAACTTTTTGTTTCAGACCATTTTTTCCGCATCTTGTCATAGGCGCTATTGATGGTTGAAGAAATTTATTGTCACGACTCCTGTAGCATCCCGAAGCTTCCAATGGGATAGTAGAAGACATTGGTGAGGAGTCCCCCTACAATTGATATCTCCTACTCGCCTCATCTGCATCCCATTCCCCATCCTTTCTAATAACAAATCCCCAATAAATCATCCGCAACCAACTGTCCCTTGAAGTCTGAGGTTCAGAGGCCAGAGGGCAGACAGACAGCTCTTACAACTTTAAGTCTAGTTGGGGCTGTTATACTACTTTTTTAATGTGATTTTTGACGTTCGGCGGTCACTGTAGATTTATCCGGTCTTTACTCGTAGGCTGGAATTCGGGCCACGCTGGGGCCCAGTTGTTTTGTCATCTTTGAAACACATGTATCCAACTTCACTTATTGCCTTCTTCCGCTTTGTAGGAAGTCTCGGGACGCTACAGATGCTGAGAGAACCATAACAGTTACTCAGTTTTATGATAGCTTATGGTGGGCACGGCTGTCTCGCGACTGTTTTCATGTGGCATTAAATATGTTGTGATGGTTGGCGCTGGAAGTGTATCAAGTGAAGCGCCAAGGATGTTGTTCTTTGGCTCATGGGCTGGCCTTTAAGCCAGGTCCAGACTCGATCCCGTCTCCTTCTCTCCGAATGCATATAGTCTGCCCAACGTAGTGCTTACTTCTGCCTTTAAAACGATTGAAGAAATCAAAATTAGCTTTGCTTTGGAACCCCTAGCATTATCAATTGCGTTGCAGCAAAAAAGTGGTTTCATATCATTACATTTAAAATAAATTAAATAAAAGTATGTATTTAAAAGTGAATTTATATTAAAACGACGATTGTTTCTCATTTGTTGCAATCATATACATTTGTATGGGTTTATAGCTTACTTCCGCCCTTGGCCTTAGTGCTTCTTTTAACCTAGAAATATATATAATATGCAATGTGACCTTCAGAGCTCTAAGCAGTAATCATGGGAAAGACAAGGAAGAGCCAGCGTGGGGGTCGGCGGCGCAGCGTGAGCACATCTAGCAGTAGCAGCAGTAGCAGCACCAGCACGTCCAGCAGCGATCGCAGGTAAGTATACGTTTATCTAATTACGCCTTCTTAGTCGAGGCTACAGGCGATCTCGCTCTAGGCATGCAGTAAGTGCTACTTACCCCACCAACTTTGTTTTAGGACAGATATTACGATAAAAGACCGGATGTGAGAATGTTCTCCGTGTATCAAGTAAGCATTTTATAAAACTTGTATGTGAACTTTTCATAAAGAATATGCCTTGTATGTTGTCAAGTATGGAGATACTGCTTACTCTTTCGAAGAATAATTTTATTAAAGGTATTATTGCAGTTTACATTAAAAGACAATGAGTTCTGCGACTTTGTCAGGTTTTTATGGAATTAGCCACTCTGATTAGCTTTTATTTTATTGCAAAATTGTGTAGCTTTTGTAATCACATGAGTTATGCTAGAATATAACGTGAGTAATTTAAAATGCATTTTTCGCTAAGAAATGATCATTCTGTTCACTACTTCAAATTTCATTTGTAGTGGGTTAGTGTTAGGTATGATGTGAAATTTTCACCAAGACTAGTATTTCAATCTAGCAGTGCCTCTTTAACTTAACGCGAAATCTCCCGTATGCATGTATCTTAGTTATTGTTTGACAAAAGAACCATTATTCCTTGGTAGAATAGCACTTGTTATATAACTTCCTGCACTTGAGTTTATGATGCTATACTAAGTATTGTTTTTAGTTAGAGTAGCTAAAAGCTTTCACTTCCTGAATCTGTTGAATCAGTGATGGTCGATACATAAACGCATGAGTAAATCGCGACAAATTTCAGCCAGGCTACGGAGGCGTGCCCATGAATGGAGTATATCCAATCCAAAGTGGAATGATGCCTAATGCAATGATGCCGCAAATGCCTAACGGTATGATGCCGCCGTATGGTGCACCACCAGCGGCAATGACCCAACCGGGTATGATGCACACACACCAAATGCAGCCACCCATGTATCCCTATCAGAACGGAATGATGAACTGGCCGTGCCAGGGTTCGCAGATTGGTGCACCACAGATGCAGCCCTCGGTTCCACCTACTCCGGTATTCCAGTTTCAAATATCGCCAGGAAAAAATGCACCTGGTAGGAAATGAGTCCTGTCAGCACATCCCTTGTTTTCGATTACTTCTCTACGCCTGACGAATAAATGCACTCAGTGTCAAGCATTTTATGCTATCTTTTGCTTGCATTACGCTGTAATGATATTTATTTTGAAATGTATCAAAACGTTTTATGATCACAGAGATGTAACATATTAGAATTTTAGAGTAGGCGCGCATTAACCTAGAAGTTATATCCTCTGTCTCAATGCATCAAATGTTCCAATTCATCACACAAATGCGGATAAAGTATAAAAATAAATAGATGCTATTTAATTAAGATTTCTTCGTTCTTAAATTTTGTGTTTTAGATAGTGTCACTTATGTTCTGTTATTTAACGGCTGCGATTTCACAAGCTAACTTTTATGCATAATGATGGATCAGCCGAATAATATGCTTAACACTTATAATGTTAATCAAATCTGAGGTATGAGGTATTGGGAGAGATGTTCAAACCTCAATAAAAGACAAAAATATGTTTTGTTCCATGGTTATTAGTAAAATGCTTAATTTTATATGTTAAGCTATTGCAATTTTGCATTTACAACCTACAATCCCGATAAGTTTTTTAACGTGTGAAAACAGTTCCTTGTGTAAGCTTTATTTGGATAGACTTAGAATGTCATCTCGAATAAGTGAATATATGCGTAACACCATTAAGATAAGGAATTATTGAGTTTAACTGTTCATTGGTTATCAGTTCTAATTTAGCTGTCAGTAACGCATTTGCCCCACTAACTTCGTCTTTACAATGATTAACTAAAGAATTGAGGCACTAACGAGCAGAGAAACCAGATGGCAGATTTAGTTTTAATATCGCACTAAGCAGTAGAATCTTTGGGTAGTTAAAAATTTTATGGACATCTCAAACAAAGAGTAAATGTAATCATGCTGAAATTCAGCAAGACAATGCCAAGCCATATCTGGATCAGATCAGATGAAGATTATATGATTTTACCTCTTTACTAGGGTGGCAGACGTGTAGGCATACGATTGCTTTCATATAGAGAGAACTAATTAATGTCTTTCAAAACTGTGAGTGGCTTTTGGCGGAATCCCACAGCATCTGCTTGCTACCATTAACGCAATTAGGCAGTCACGCGAGGCGCAATGAATCTTGGTTGATACTGGGTGTAAAATCGAAAAAAACTCCTCCATAACTCAGCTTTAGGCGAGTGGTCGAAGATTGCTTCCACCAGATTTTTCTTTCGCTAAACACGGAGATAGGAAGAGTTAAGTGGGCGTATATTATTAGGCGGTGTATGGCACTGCCAAGTACAATGAACGAGAAGTGGTGACGAATTCTGCATTATACTCGGAGGAATACATTTCAAATTCATTTTAAGGAATCATACATGAAAATTCAATTAGCAAATTAAACTCGGAGAAGGATGATACCGACGGGTTTAGGTGCATGTGAATTAGCAGCGGTAGGGACAATGCTGTGCAATG